TTTCTTGCCACTGTGATGAGCAGCCACCACAAGTTATCATCGTTTTTACTGATCACTCTGAAATACAAGTACTTAAAAAAAGAAAGATCTTTTTTTAATTATTATTATTAGTTTTTAATCTTTTCACACAAGGAATCTAGAGAAAACAAGAAGGCAGACCATACATATATATTCAGCTTAATTTTGATTCTTCGTGCTTTACTTTGAAAAGAGAAGGGAAAGAATATAAAGAAAATTTCTCAGTGGTGGTATCTCGTATGATGTTATCCTGGTATTGATCTCTTGAATAGTTGAATGTTAATGTTGATGGATAATTAATTGTTAGTGTTTATGCTTTAATATTTTAACAATAAATGTCACATTTAAGACATCAAAGTGTCACAAGATCATATTTCCATGAAACCATTATATATATATATATATATATATATATATAGTGCCTTTGTTGTGGAATTAGGATCTCTCGAAGTTAAAAAGCTTTTCTGACTTTAAGGTCCACCCACCTCTTTTTGAATCTCAATATTTCACATTAACTAAATTAAAATTTACAAAATCCGTTTATTTTTCTTTTTTTGAGGTTAATTGTTAGTGTTTTATGCTTTAATATTTTTAACAATAAATGTCACATTTAAGACATCAAAGTGTCACAAGATCATATTTCCATGAAACCATTATATATATATATATATATATATATATAGTGCCTTTGTTGTGGAATTAGGATCTCTCGAAGTTAAAAAGCTTTTTCTGACTTTAAGGTCCACCCACCTCTTTTTGAATCTCAATATTTCACATTAACTAAATTAAAATTTACAAAATCCGTTTATTTTTCTTTTTTTGAGGTTAATTATGCTATATATGCATTGTGCTTACTTATCGCTATTTTCTTAATATAAAAGTTAGATAAAAAATTTATTTTAATTTTAAATATAAAATATCAATTCAATTTATGTCTCAAGTCAATATATAATAATTATTAGGAAGGTAAGAATTATGAAAGAAACATAATTAAAACCAATTTACATCCATCACAAACTAAAATTGCTGAAAACAAATGATTCCGTTTGAGTTTTTTATTCTATATGTAGTACTACCTTCTGTTCTTAATATAAGATCTTATTTAATTTTTATTCTTGTCTTAAATATAAGATCTAAATCCATTATGTTTCTAATATTTATGTATTTTTTCTAAGATAATTCTTTTAACAATAATAGTTCTAACCAATACACCTAATTAATAAGGATATTTTAAAAAAAGCAACACCTATTTATTACAAATAACTAACTTAACTTCTGTAATTTCTTAATCTCCTCAAATTAGTTAACTAATTTTTATGATTAGGATCAGAGATATAGTATCATATAATTTTAAATGAATCAAATCAAATAAAAACACTTACGCATATGCATTATGCTGCATGTGATTTGATTTGAGTTGATTTCTTGTTTTTTTGGGGCCAGAAAGTAAAGTTCTTTTCTTAAAGCTCGATTCTATACTGATAACTGTTACTTTTGCCCCAAACATTTGACATATTCAGCTTTTTACAGTTTGCTTTTACCAGTTTTTCCGTACAAGATTTCTCTAATTTTTCCTGCTAAGAGATTTCATTGTTTTTCCCTTACAAAAGATTTCCAACATATACAGAGCATGGCCAAAAGAAAAAGAAATGAACACAATTTTGGCCACAAAAAGTGCCAAATTGCTGACATTTGTATGCGTATATAAAAGTTAAAGATTCAAATACTCCAACATATATTAGGAAAAAATTATTATGCATCTATAATTTGGTGCTCAAGACTTGGGAAAAAATTGTGGTTTCCTTTTATTTATGTGCGGGCCGTGACTTTATGTTACGGTAACTTTTGATTATGTTCGTAATTATTCTTTTTTTTTTTTGGGTACAAATGAGTGAAAACGCTTGGAATTAAAATAATTTACGGGACAATGAATCTTATACACTCTTTTTTTTTCCCCCGTCAGATGCAACTAAATTCTGTAAGTAAGACGGACCCATAATTGATATACAGTGCTTTGTTTTGGTTCCGGTCAGATGCAAACATTCATATAAAATAAGATAAAATTCTTTTTATATACTTATCTTGTATACTGTAAATTACAATTAAAAATATATTCTTAAACGCTCTAATCTTATTCTGAACAAGCCCTAAATACAATAATAAAATCAGTCTTGGCTAAAATATGAGCAAAACAATTTTTTTTTATCCCTTGGAATGGGTCACAGTTATGGGTCCCAGCGGTAGTCCATGGGATTCTTGATTTGAAAAGAAACGATGTTAAATTTAAAAAATATATAAAAATTATATTAATTATTTTTGTAATGTTTTTTACAATATTTGTAATGGCTTTGATAAGTTAACATCTGTTAAAATTGGCTATTTATTATTTTAAAATTTAAAAAGTATTTTTTCTGTCATTTTTTCGTTAAATTATTTGCATTAGATTTAAAAATAATTTTCAATTTTTTTGAGTACAAAATAATTTTCAATTTTGGTTTGTTGTAGACCTGTTATATGTTAGGCCCAATTGTTTTTGGTAGTTGGCCCAATTAAGGGCTGAGCATGACTTTGTTTTATTGCATCGATATTCTTGCCATTTCAATAATGTCTAACAATTTCAGCTTATTATCATTACTAAATTAGAAAATTAGAGAACTTGTCCAGAAATTATTGTCTTTAAAAAAAAATACTGAACTGTTATTAAAAAAAAAAAAGATAATAGTACCCTCGAAAGGTAGAGCATATATAAGCCCAACGCCCGTTTATAATTTTCTTGTTTTTCCAAGGAATATACACCTGGGTAGGAAAAGTCCAAATAACAAGAACTAGTTGTTGGCGCAAAAAAAAAAAAAAAAAGAACTAATTAATTGTCCAAAATCGAATCAATCTCCCCACAAAATGGAACCAAATTCTTGGCTGACAATTCCACATGATTATATATGCAAGTGTCAACGATAAGAAAGTCCAGCATGGCCTTCAGGAAATTTTCAGGATTTCAAAAGGGAAATATCAAAACAAAGTTTGAAGTTTGAAATTAGGCCTCTAAATCTTCCTCTATAAATATTTGATTTCTGGACCTCTCTACACATATCTCATTATTACATCATCATCATCATTATTTTGGGTAACAGTTAAGAATTGGAACTGTTTTTGTTGGATCACGGACTCACTCAAAATATTTAATAAGCTTAATTAGTTAAATTAAATAATGTTAATATTTAATTTAATGTATATTAAGTTTGATTTAAAAAAATAAATAATCAAATGTGAATTGATCAAGCCTAAATTCAATGCTCTTTCATTAATTCATTAATTAAGATATTGTCAGTAACTATGATAAATCGATTATAATTAGTGTTTGATGGATATGAATATATACACACACACACATATATATATGATGATAATGATTAATTATATTTTATATTCTTTTTTTTTTCCTGAAATTATATTTTATATTCAATCACCTACGTATTCTATAAATAAGAAGGGTGCTTCCATCGATGAAAGCTGAAACGGCGTACGGAGAAATATCATTAACTTTTTTTGAAATGCATTCACTACTCAATTACCTGTTCCAAACCCGAATCTGGGTTAAATTAAAAGTTAAAAAAGAGAGTAGATTTTAAAATGATCAAAGTATCGTTCTCAGATTCTATATAAAATCTATCCGTTTAATCTGTTTACCTTCAAATTAAACGAAGAATACTTTACCAAAAAAAAAATAAACGAAGAATATATATATGTATAGACACACACAATAAATATTAATATTAATTAATTTTTCTTAGAAAAAAATATTAATTAATGTTAATTCATGCAGGTCTTTTTAATGTAATTTTTTCCCAGTCGCCAGCCGAATCAAATATCTAATATCTCTTTCATAATCCAAATTTGTTATCTTGGATCGATTATCTGAGGTCCAAATCAAAATAAAGAAATGTTTAAAATTAAAGCCCTCATAATTAATAAGTGTAAGCTTTCCAGTATTTGAATTTGTATAGGGATAACTTAGTATCTCAACCAACAGCTTGTTCGTTACTACTCCGTCCCTTATTATAAGATTTTTTTTAATTAAATTGCGCCATTTAAAAAAATAGTTAAAATTGGTTAAAAGCAATTAATATGTAGCAAATACAATTTTTTTCCAAATACACCTCTATATATAAATGAGTAGATGTGAGAGAATAATAGTGAAATAAATGGATAAAGAGAATGTATTAAATGTATTAAACTATGAGTAAAATATGTAATAATGTATTAAATATTAAGACAAACTCAAAAGAGATCTTATAAAAAGGGACAAACCTATTCAAAAAATTAAATCTTATAATAAGAGTATGATTTTAGTTTTTATCCTCATTCGCTGTGATATATTTGAGTTTTAATCTTGTTGCAGCTTTTGTTATCATCAATATGGTTGAAAGAGTATCCATAGGGGTAATTTAGAGAAAATTGATAAATATGAAAAATAGGTCTTATATTTAGGACCAAAACCAACTCACCAATTGAGTCCTATATTAAGGACCGGAGGAGTAGTTATTTTGCTGATATTTTTAGTTATTCTGCCAGATTATGCAGATAGGAGGGTGATAAACTGATAATGAGAAACATCATAAAATTCCCTAGCACCTTCCGTACCTGGCATCAAGGAAATTTTTTTTCCTACCAGTTAATAATGGAGTGGCAGTAACAGAATCTAGAACAGAGTAACATCCCTTCACCCCCCGGGATGATTGACCCTCCTACGAAAGACCATCCAGAATTTTTTTTGCAGAAACAGGGAACAAAGCACTAAAGTTGACCAATTCAACTGTGTGCTCAATAGCTCAGTCAAAAAAATTCGATCTTCTAGAATCAGCAAAATAAGCACAATGGAACATCTAAATTTAGAAATTAACAAGAAACTATAAATAATATGAGAATTACGTACAGTATATTTACGAGAAGCAATAGAAAATTGTTTAAACGACCAATTAATTACATAAATGATCCCAGCTCTCAGCCTACTTTCCTAAAAGGATATATTTCGATGCAGTAAAAGGTACCAAATCGTTGGCACCGGTTTCCCAAGAACTTTTCCTCTGTCAGCACCCACAATGCCGTCCGCAGCCGATCGGATAATCTTCTTGAACGCAAAATGGAGGCAATTAGAAAGCATGATCCAGGACAGCACCTCATAGACAAAATCAAAAGCAGGATCCGAATGCGAAGACGACGATTCATCCCCGTCACGCCCTTCACCAAATCCATTATAGTTCCAACCGCCGCCTCCAAAACCACCGTCATTACCCCCAGAAGGACCATCGCCACCGTCACCGGAAAGGAACCCCTCGTCTCCGACGTTCTCGGAGTCATCACCGGATAACCTGCGCTTATTTCGTCGTTTTCTGCGGAGAAGGGTCCGACGAGGTACTCTGCATGAACATGATTTGGCAGGTGGTGAGGCGACAGCGTCGACGGCATTACTGCTCACCGATGAGATTTGCAGAGCTCTGGCGGACGGTGATGAAGAAGATGACTGCTCCGCATATGAATCAATCAGAGAGAGGGTATTGCAAGCATGAAAGTTTCGAAGTAGGATTTTTGCGACTCCGATGCCATTCGAAGCGGCTCCAATGGTAGTGTCAGCGACAAGAAAGTGAACCACAGCCATCGTAAAATTTTCGGGATCGGGAAAGGAGAATCGAAGCAAACTTTTCTCAACAAAGGTGAGATCTATGGATGGAGTCTTGGCGGGGAAATATCGAAGAAAGGGAACGAGGAGTCAATTTCGAATCAAATTCGATTCTTCTTTTCCTTGTATATGACGAAGCTCGCCTTAAACGCAACGTCTTGTTCCTTGAGGCTCGCATAGTTTGACTCGATTTATAGCCTGTTGGCCTTTTCTTTTAAATTTAAAATTAGAATATCCGATTAGATCACTTAAATCAAATAAAATATTTTTTGTTAATCTAATTGCTTTCTTATTGCGGAATAACCATCACTCTAATAATCTCAGTAATTAGAGAATACTTCTGTGATCCTATTTATAAGATACTTCAAATATGTTTCATACATATTAAAAAAAACCTTAAATTATGTTAATTTCATAAAAAATATAATAACTTTTTAATTTTATCCATATTTAATATATACACTTTTTAAAAAATAACTATTTACACTATAATAGATAAAAGATAAAACAGTATATCCATATTAAAAATTTAATAAAATGACTTATAAATAAGACTAAAAATATTTTCTCTTTCTATCTTATAAATAGGACTAAAAAAGTAATAATTGCCTCTACTATATCTACTCCTTGCTAATAAATGTTCATTGGCCACATGTGCTGGAATTCTGACTCAAACTTGAGGCTTATGAATTGACATGTTTTATTTATTTTTTTTGGTTTGTTCATATGTTTTCATAAATAGTTGGGAGAGTTGCAATAAAAAAAATAACTATTAAAAATGCTTAATAATAAGTATTGAGTTATTATTTTTTTACTCTGAAATTTATTATTACAAAGTATGACTATGAGTGCCGAAGTTTGCTATATGAACAGTGGCAATATCATATTTTACTTGACCATTTCAAATACTCCTCTGGTCCTTAATATAAGACCCATTTGACTAATTTGATTAAATTAAAGAAGTTAGGTAAGTTAGTTAATTATAAGAAACGTAACATGTTTTTTTTTAAAATACCATAATCATTTTTCTTAATACTCCATCTTTCTTTTCTATTTGATTATGGTTGAGGGAGTATCCATGAGGGTAATTTAGAAAAAATTGATAAATATGATAAATATATCTTATATTTAGGATCAAAACCAACTCACCAATTGGATCTTATATTAAGGACGAGAGAAGTATTATGCCACGTATGAGCTTCCCCTTAAAGTAAGGTCCAGAATCAAGTAGCTGCATGTGTTTGATTATGAAAATGAATTACTACCAATTTTTGTCTCTAAAAGTTTTACCTCATTTGGTCTTTGGTCCGATATGATTTCACACTATAACACTTAAAAGTGCCAAGAATAATAGACAAGTCATCAAATTATCAAAGCAGTATAGAATAAAAAAGTGGAAAGAGAAGGGGGTGGGGATGCAAAATACATGCATTCTTAGTAATGCTCTTTTTTGTGCAGGTGACATCAAAGCTTTATTTTTTTTTTTAATTCCTTATAACCTTCATTTTATTGTATGAAAAAATTCATAAAGAATATCTATATTCTTGGTAATGCTTATCATATAAAATCTTTAAAAAACTAAAATGAAAAAAGTGAGATTTTCACAGTGTTGCAGTTGTCCGATAGCGGAGACTTCTTCGTGTTAATCTTCCCAGGGCCCGTTATCTATTTCTAGCGGCGGACGTACGAGCGACGGAGCCGGCTTCCCCCATCTACCTCTCCCATTCTCAATCCAAAATCACACCGTTTTGATGTACAAAGATAGGAGTGGCCACTTTTTTTTTTTTGTTGTTCGAATGAAATGGAGTGGCCAATTTTTTTACCCAACTTTCGCCACTTTAAAATATTTTTTTAGTTATAGTCAGCATTTTAAAATAATTTTTAGTATGCTTATCATTTTAAAATATTTTTAAATAGCACCCAGTACTTAACAAGCTGTATCGTGAAATATTTTTTTTAGTAACATTCATTATTCTAAACCAATTTTTAATATATCCAGTATCTTATAGTATTTTTTTTTTATAATACCTAGTATCTTAAAATTAGTTTAGAAAATATTTCAAGATACGTCTTGCTAGATGCTTGATGCTACTGAAAAGATATTTTAAAATACTGAATGCATTATCTAATATTTTAAAATAATTTTTAGTACACTTACTATCCTACAATATTTTTCTTAATAACCTAAATTAGTTTTTATCACATTCAGCACCTTACATTATTCTTTTATATCCTAAAATATTTCAAGATGTAGCTTACTAGATATTAGTTCCTATTAAAAAATATTTTAAAGTGTTAAATATATTAAAAATTATTTTAGGATAATAGATACAAGTGAAAAAAATATTTCAAGAGGGACGAATTGGGTTGCAAAATTGAAACAAAACAAAAAGCAGACAGCCCCATTTTCATCCCAAAACGGTGTAGTTTTGAGTAGAGGAGGGGAGTAGGGAATAGAGACGCGAGGGGCAGAAGAGAGAACCGGTTCCGCGGAGGACGGGGTACACCTGACCCGGGACCGAGGGGAGTAAGTTAGTAACCGAAGTGACGGTGGGGTGTAGTGGGGCCCACGTATAGCACGCAAAAAATTTGTGCCATGACTGACGTGGGCCCCACTGACCAAGACCAGCCCGGCTTTGACTGAACGTTAACACACTTCAAAAGGGTATCGCCATCTCATGCAAAGGAAGTCGCTGGCACAAATGCTCACATAACAGACCATTTTCAGTGAGCACAACAGAAGCACAGCAAATCAGTATTGAGTAAGCAATTTTATATAAATGCTTAATTACCTGATTTTTTTAAAAGGTTTTTTAACTTATACTCAGTTCAAACCTTAATGAGCCCGTTTGGAACAATTTATGAGTAGCTTATAAGCTGCTTTTTAATAGTTATTTACAGAATACGAGATAAGTATATAAGATGGGTTTTGTCTCAGGTTATGTGAAACGTGCTTATAAAAGATTTCTATCACTCTGTCAAACGGGAACAATATATGCTGCATTTAACTATTCTGAATATGTTAAAAAAAAAAAGATAAAGTGATTAATTATAATAAATATTACATAATTTCACAGTTATATAGCATTATATATTATATTATATTATATTATATTATATTATATTATATATATCAATTAATGAGTTAGATAAACTAATTTAGGAAAGGATTATAAGTATGGGAGACAGTAAAGTAAAATATTATATTTATAAACAATTCTAACTTTCATCTAGTTTTTATTAAAGATTAGATTTAGTAAAAACTTTTCTCAAAAAGATTTAAATCAAATAAAATAACAATTATTTTTAAATACATATATTCTTTTTCCTACTTATCTTTTTAAATTCTCTATCCATATTTAGATATGTACCTTAGAGAAGATACAAATGTAAAGATATGGCACCACCTAAGAATCAGTAAGTTCTCTTAATCAGAACAGCTTTATTCAAAACTGGGGCGATTACCTAGTTCATCGTTACGTGATTGAGAAAGTGACAGAAAAATTTTCTTTTAAAAAAAACTTATATAAAAGGAAATTCATCTTGTTTTCATTTTTTTTTTAATTTTAGTTTTATTTAACAAGCGAGTATTTTTATGTGTCGCTCGTCATGAGCAAAGCACAACTCTCGCAGTGCTCTTTTTCTGTCAACATAACCAACACCTTCTCACGCATATTGTCCAGCACTGTTGAACAAAGTTAATATCAAAAGCCAAATTCAAACAAATATGAAATAAAAAGTAAGTAAATGCATTACGCTGCATTTGCTACATGTTTTTTAACACCACAAATATTAAAATTAAAAGTCCATGCAATATTAAAACCTAAATAAGGGACCCACAACACGAGGGCGTCCAGGTACCAAGTCTGGGACCCCGCCAAGCCACCAAGCTCAACCTTACTCCTCCTCCTCCTCCGTCTCCGGCTAGAAAGCCATACCACCATCCTCATCACCTGCCATGCCCAGAGATCATAACGCTTTTACACAGCAATCCCAGATAAGCTAAGTATTAGAGCATTCATCTATTACAAAGAAGTTGGCAGCAACAATAAGGTCTTATACTGATTAAAGAAAAAAGCAGCAAGCAGCTTACGAGTAGGAGGAATGGTGAAGCAAAGTTCACCAATTCCTGTCTTGAAAGAAAATATAGGAGGAGCTTCACCGTCGTCTTCTTGAGATTGGTTCACCTTAATCTGCACAGTGTTTGATATGGTAGCTGCTTTATGGAAAACACCTACAGGTCGGAATGGATTGTGTTTTATCCTTGCCCATGCATTGGTCCCAGATACACTAAGATTAGGCTCTCCAAGTCTTTTGGGCGTAGGATAAATTCTTAACTTTCCAAGTGATCCATAAGCTAGAAATTCCAACCGGGGACCATTTGAAGCATCAGCGCTGGCACTTATTTCAACTGTAATTGAGCAAATCAAAATGTAAATATACACAAGATCGCATGTGTGCTGCAAGCAAAAGTGTTTACCTCTTCCCTCAAAAGCACTGAGATCTTTAACAGCATTCATGAATTCACTTGAACTCATGATAATCTCCACATCAAATTTCTGATTCAAATCCTTGTCATCAACCGATTCATGAGGTGCGATTAGAGCTTCACTGATAACATGACTCCAGTTCACGTCTAAAATAAATTTAAAGTGAAAAATATTATGCTAGGCTGATCATCAAAATAAAGAACCAATTACCATTCAATAAAAATAAAATATTAATTACCTCTGCTTTCGAAACTGAATTCAAGTCTGCCATCATCTTTGGCTTCAACGGTGATGGCTCCATCATCATAGTTGAGATCTAATGTGCTGAATATATTCTTTGCCTCAAATCGGATCGAGTAAGGATTAGCTGCCCATTTATGTTCCTCGGCTCATCCAGCGAGAAGGTCCAGTAAAGTAGTGGATGTGTCTTTATTGATCTGAAGATGATGAGGGAGGCGCAGCGGTAAAACTCCACCTCATCATTATCCTTGCACGGGTCTCTCAGTATCGAAATGTGTCTTTATTGATCTGAAGATGATGAGGGAGG